CATCTCTTATCACTTGTTTTCTTTTACTGTCTGTGATTTCACCTTTCATGTTCGAGTTCCCTTTGCTGTTTGGGCTCTGCGAAATACAATGTTAAAAAATATATTTTATTGATCCTTCCAATACTAATACTTGAAGCATGGAATACTTTGCAATGTGTTATTAAGAGGCAGTCTGTGTAAGAACCTCATGACCAGTTTTGGTCAGGTCAACAGATTTCCTTCAAATTCCCACCATTTGTTAGTCTTATTAATACAACTTTAATGTGCAAATTATTCTAAAAATAGACTTATTCTTGCAAAGTTATGGGGGATTTAATTTTTGAGCTTAATTTGACCATTTTCGCGATTATTCATAATGGATTTTTTGCCAATATTCCAGACCTTCCATCTCTGTGGAAAATTAACTAATAGTGTAATCCTTAGGCATCGAGATATTGACATATCTGATGTACAACTGCATATGAAAGATGTACTCTAACGTATTTTTGAAACAGAGAAATTAAAATTTATAGAAGTACTGTTTTTTGAGATTTTGAAATCGACAGAAATATGCCAATCTTCAAAAAATTATTTCCCAAAAGTGGATCGTTGCATGGATCTAATATTCCTATCACAGTAAAATGAAATGTTATTCTTTAATAAAGTGAAATAAAATCGTTCGGCTGGTCGGTTTTGACAATGTGACAGACATCAAACTTCGGCTGTTTTTGGCCACACTTCTGTCTCAAGATATAAAATAAAAGACAGTTATTTCCCTTTAATTGGTTCCAAATATGTTCATCCAATATGTTATAGCACACAATACAATAACTAGCTGTAGAGTATATAGTGAGATACTGATTGAAACTTAATAAATTTATGCCGTGAAAATGTACATCTATATATATTACAATTTAGACAATCAGTAATCATAAGGCAATGACTGCTCAGAATAGTAAACCATTTTCACTGCTAAGTAACCGCTCATAGCTAGGCGTGGTTAAGTTATGGGAAAGGTATGGGAAATCGAGAAGTCCTGCGCTAAGCCGCTCCTTGATCATATGTGTACCGCATCCGACCAAACGATATCTACAGGTAGGTTTAGGGGATAGAGCGGAGGACAAGATGATGGAGATTGTTAGAATAATACTCTGCCAAAACTCAAAACAAACCGATCTTTTTATTTCTCCAAAGTTTCTATTAAACACATGGATTCCGTACGAAAGTAATCACGGGAAAGCTTGTGCAATGCCCTGTAGTGTGCTTTTGGTTGTGTATGTCCTGCCCGCTGTTGTCGCTGCCGGATTGTCTTCTACGGATGACTGTATAGTGCTGTTGGCGAGTGTTGTGGCCACGTTGTGCATTCCTTCTACTTTGTCTAGCTGAAAGTAGTGCTCTAGCGACGCTCTGGTTCTCCAGCCTATGTGGCGTGCGACGACTTCCGGTGATATGCCCAACATAGATAGGGTAATAGAGCAACCGCTACTGAAGCTGTGCATGGTTTCACCATTGTGGATGCCGGCGTCTTTAAGATGTTGTGCGAGTCTATTGGCAACGGTTGAACCGACATATGGGTTCTCTGAGACCTCTCCTCTACTATTTAGGGAGCGAAAGAGAAATATCGCTCTCAAGTTAATAATAATAATAAGAAATGCTTATATAGCGCACTATACAYAGTCTCAGTGCGCTTTACAAAATATATATAGATAAATATAATACATAAAAATTAGAAATTAGAAAAACATATCGCAATATTAAAAAAAACCCAGAGATTCCAAAAAAAAGTCATGTTGTTCTTATTTGGGAAAAAGATGAGTCTTAAGCTTGGATTTAAATGTTGCTAGCGAAGGCTGGTTGTTGACTTCTTCAGGTAGAGTGTTCCAGAGACGCGGAGCAGCATATTCATATTCATATTCACCATAAGACGAGGCTCGAGATGGTGGAATCGTCAATAAGTTCTTAGCTGAAGAACGAAGTGGTCGAGAGGGCTTGTACTGTGTTAACAGTCCAGACAGATATGATGGTGACAAACCATTTTAAAAGCACCTTATATGTGAGCAGCAGGATTTTATACTGAATACGAAGATGTACAGGAAGCCAATGTAGATCTTTAAGAATAGCTGATATGCTATCACGTGGATTCGCACCAACTACTAGCCGTGCTGCAGTATTTTGTATTCTTTGTAAGTTGTTTAGGTCAGTAGACGGAAGACCATACAAGATGCTGTTACAATGGTCATGGACAAGGCGTTCAAGATGTTCACGAGTAAGATAACGGCGAATTCTTCCTAAGTTTGGTAAGGCTGCAGAAGAGGCTTTGCAAACGTTCTTAATATGTGTACGGAAATCAAGTTTGGAGTCAAATAYGACTCCAAGGTCACGTACTTCATTTGAGAATTTGATGGAAGCGCCCCCAACAACTAACAGCGAGATGGTTGATGGTTTTTTGACAAATCTCGAAGAAAACTGTATGATCTCAGTTTTATCTGGTTGTGACTGCAACTTGTTAGTATTGTTCCAGTGGCGATCTCCCATCACGGTTAACAGCGATGTAAAGTTGCGTGTCGTCAGCATAAATCATACAGTTAAGATCATGGCTCTTAACTATGTCTTCGATAGGAGAGGTATACAGCAAGAACAACGATGGTGCAAGGACTGAACCCTGTGGTATAACATACTTGATTGGAATGGAGGTTGATATAGAATCATTGATCTTGACTACTTGTGAACGGTCTGTTATATAAGAAGAGAGCCAGTCAAGTGCTGTACCACCAATGCCAAAAGTACAATGCAAACGATCCAGAAGTATACGGTGGTCAATGGTGTCAAACGCTGCTGACTGGTCAAGGAGCACAAGCACCATTTCACTTTCGTTGTCCAACGCCCTCAGAATATCATTGGTGACTTTTACAAGGGCAGTCTCAGTAGAGTGGTGCTTTCTATACGCAGATTACATTTCAGGATACAGATTGTTACAGTCCAGATAGGAATGAATCTGGTTGGCTACTGTTTTAGCCAAAAAAGGTAGATTTGCTATGGGTCTGTATTTGGAAAAACAGTCCTTGCCTAGGTTTGGTTTCTTGAGCAGCGGACGAAGTAAAGACGTTTTAAGCTGACATGGAAAATGGCCAGAAGTAACTGATTGGTTGACGATTGATGCTATGGTAGGCATGAGGATTGGAATTGACTTGACAAGACTGGTTGGAATTGGATCGAGTAAACATGAGCTGTTTGACGAGGCAGCCACCATATCATGAATGGTCATAACAGGTAATGATTGAAAGTTGGTAAGTGTACTTTGACATTCCTTTCTTGCACAGTCTATCAAAACCGGAGGTAAAGATGATTGTTCCAATTCAGCTCTTAAGTTGGCAATCTTCTGTGAAAAGAAATCATTAAACTGGACAGCCAGGTGGTCAGATGAATCAAACTTAGGAAGAGAAACACTGTCTTTAGATTGAAGAAAACGAGAGACAGTCTTGAAAAGCTGTATCTGGTTACAAGTACTCATCTTGTTTTGGTAGTACGACGACTTCGTTTTAGTTAATACATCCTTGTAATGCTTGCAAATATCACGATAAATAACTCTATGAACCTCTAGGCCAGATGATAAATATCTCCTCTCTGTTTGGCGTTTCTGCTGTTTCAGGTCTCGCAGCTCCTTATTAAACCAGGGAGAGTTTGGTCGTAGCGTGATTTCCCTTTGTATTAATGGTGCATGTTCATCGAGTAAAGATGATAGAGTTGTATTATATTGTTCAGTCATATCACTAGGATCAGACGATAAGGAGACGATGTTTGCAAGGGGCGAAGACATAATGCCAGTAGTGAAGTTATCCAAGTCGATTCCCTTCATGTTTCTGGAGGACAAAATTAGCTTGGATGGGGGAGGTCTTGGGCAGTCAAGTTTACAGGTTACAAGAAAATGATCAGATACATCGTCAGATGACAAAATCTTTGTAGTTGATACAACATTGATGGCTTCACGTGACATAATGAGATCAAGCGTGTGACCACTTCGATGTGTAGGGCCATTGACATTTTGTACAAGATCAGTTGATTCCAAAAGGCTAAGAAACCGGCATGCATCATTGTCTGATGGATCATCCAACATGGAAATTTAAATCGCCCGCAATGACAACTGGGTGCTGCGACAAGGTGAGTTCTTCAAGAAGTTGTGAAAATTCCCTGTAGAATTCGGACGGACCACTCCTGCGGGGTTGAGGACGGTACATAACAAGTAGTCTAAGATGGTTGTTCTTGTTAGATAGAGTTGTATCAATATATTCAAATGTTCTCATATCCATGCATTGATTTAATTGAACAGTATACTCAGATCGAATCATAAGGGCTGCACCACCTCCCTTTCGATCTTTCCTTGGGACATGATAAAAAGCGTAGTTTGGAAGAGTGTTTCGAATGTCAGCGATGCAATGGTTATCAATGTCAGTTCCATTGAGCCATGTCTCAGTTATTGCTAGAAGATCAAGGCGATTTGAAATCACAAAGTCACACAATAATGATGTTTTATGAACAATAGATCTTGCGTTCCACAGCCCAAATTTAGTGGACATATCCACGTGATTGTTGTTGATAACAATGATATATCAAGGTTATGGCTAATTGACTTCGATGAATTACTTGGATGATTTCTTTGTGTAATTCGTACGGGAATATTCAAATTTGAAAAACTTTGCCGATTTTTAACTTTCGCTCCATTTCTTGTTCCACGACTATGTCTGCTTATTCCAAAGCTTTTTATCGTAGAAAAAACGAACGGTGAGAGTTTGGGCAGCGTCCTGGTCTGACAAAGAAACTGGTTGATTGTCTTCATGTAGGCTGAAGAATAACGGCGAGTGGGCCATTGTTCCAATGTTGCTCGTCCAAGAGTTGAAAAAAATCAACGGCAACACAGCACTAGCTATTCCCAAATTCATGTTAAATACGTAAGGTCACTATATGTAGCTGTCTGTAGTTATAAAAGTCGAAAAAACTAAACAAACTTTGAAATAATTTAGATAAAATATCAGAGGTTTCAAATGACGTGCAAGCCAGTCAGGCGCAACACATTAGTGTTAAGTTTCATCAGGTCGCATAGTTGTATGTAAAGGTCAAGGTTGGCGACTGGGCAAATAACGCGGTCTTCGCCCCACCTCTGTGGTAAATATTCTGCCTATATCTGAAGCCCTGTCGCCTGAGAAGAACTCTAGGGAGAAAAAGGCGAGGTCCCTTGCGAGGATATAACGCTTGCTGCCGTATCGTTGGCGAACTCGGCAGATCTCAGGTGTGCACAGAGAATCTGTAATTTATCAAAAAATATGGGACGGCCTGCTTGGGTGTAACCCTTGCTTGAGCTTGCTCCTCCTGTACTGACTTGAGGTATGTTTTGACATCAGGGTGAGTAGCTGGATTCCCGACGGCTAGAGTGTTGTTCCAGTTGTCTCCACGACCGGCCGCGATAAAGATAGC